CATGCTTCTTCCCAAGCATAGAACTTTCCTCACTCTTCGATGCCTAGTTCAAGTGTCACTTCCTTTGAGTCTCCCTCACCTATGACTGCAGCCACCATGGCAGATGGGTTACCTCCCCTCAGGTCTGAGTCCAGCCCACAGCAGAGCATTTCCCACACCAGGACAGTGTTAAAAGCATCTGATAGAAACGAATGGACGGCATCCCATGTCTTTCCCCACTTCCTACAACCAGCGCTAGATGCGCTGATGTGAGCCGGGCTTCCTGACAGGCGCCTCCAGCCACACCGCCACTGCCTTCATCTACACATCTCTAGGCCACTGTCGGCATGGGGCCCGGGATGCTGTCATCATGTACCTGCTCTCTGACACACACACACGGTTATGATTTTTATATCTCTTATGTGAGTCTTTGGTTATTGCTTGTCTCTTCTATTGGATTGGGTACGGGTGTCCACAGTCTCCCAGAGATCAGCCACAGAACCTGGGATGTGACAGGAACTCAAATGCTGACTCAAGAGAATAAAAACACATTCATGTATACCACCCATTAAAGGATTAAAAAAATAATCAAACAAACCAAAAAAGCTGGGTGGTGGTGGTGGTGGTGGTGTCACATGCCTTTAATCCCAGCATTCTGAAGGCAGAGGCAGGAGGATTTCTGTGAGTTTGAGGTCAGCCTGGTCTACAGAGTGAATTTCAAGACAGGCTCCAAAGCTACAGAGAAACCCTTTCTCAACCCCCCAAACAAAACACAAAACAAAACAAAGGATAAAAAGAACCCATGGGAGTCTCCTAGCCCACAATCACTTGCTCAAGCGAAGAGCTGTGTCATTTCTCCCAGGCAGGTAAAAGTAGATGGAGGTGGACATGGACCTTCCAGCCTTCCAGTGCCTTCCAGAAGAAGAGCCCTAAGGTGGCCTTCTCCTGTTTACTCACACCTCTAGGATACAGTTTCCCTGTCAGTCCTAATTTGTATTGCAGGGCAGCTTACCCCCAAATTTGCAAGGCCTCAATAACCAGTCAATAATATCAACCCCCTTAATAATCTGAATGCTTCACAGGTAAGAGCTTGCTCTGCAGGCATGAGGAGCCGAATTCGAATCCTCAGCACCCGGAATAAATAGCTGGGTGCAGTTGTGCATTCCTGTAACCCCAGCATTGCAGGGCAGAGACAGGCAGGTCCCAAAACCCAAAAGGGTGAGCTCTGGCTCAGGAAGAGACAGCAATAAGGCAGAGACTAACAGAGGAGTGACGTAAAAGCCTGGCCTTCACACACCCGACATCCTGCTATGGCCTCCATATATGCTCCTGTACACTTACATGCAAGCGCCACACACAAATACACCATACTCCCTCCAAATACTGCCCTATGACCAAAAGCAACAAAAGCAGACTTGAGAATACACTTGAATATTCAGGTTCAAAGCAGCATCACTCACGCCAACTGAAAGGCAGAAGGAACCCAAGTATCCATCAGCAGACGGCTGAACACTGTGAGGGAGAGTACACACACAGTAGGATGCTTACACTGTGAGGGAGACTACACACACACAGTAGGATGCTTACACTGTGAGGGAGAGTACACACACACAGTAGGATGCTTACACTGTGAGGGAGACTACACACACACAGTAGGATGCTTACACTGTGAGGGAGACTACACACACACAGTAGGATGCTTACACTGTGAGGGAGAGTACACACACACAGTAGGATGCTTACACTGTGAGGGAGACTACACACACAGTAGGATGCTTACACTGTGAGGGAGAGTACACACACAGTAGGATGCTTACACTGTGAGGGAGACTACACACACAGTAGGATGCTTACACTGTGAGGGAGAGTACACACACAGTAGGATGCTTACACTGTGAGGGAGAGCACACACACAGTAGGATGCTTACACTGTGAGGGAGAGTACACACACAGTAGGATGCTTACACTGTGAGGGAGAGTACACACACAGTAGGATGCTTACACTGTGAGGGAGAGTACACACACACAGTAGGATGCTTACACTGTGAGGGAGAGCACACACACAGTAGGATGCTTACACTGTGAGGGAGAGTACACACACAGTAGGACACTTTAGAGCAGAGGCTTGGCATTGGGCAGAGTAGTCAGCTGGCCTTTCAAGTGTGAGGACCTGAATTTGATCCCCATATTCACATACAAAGTCTGGGGCAGTGACGTGTGCATATAATCCCATGACTGGGGAGCTGGAGACAGGAGGATCCTGGGGCTCGCTGAACAGCAGCCCAGCCTAATGAACAAGCTCTAGGTCCCAGTAAGAGACCCTTTCTCAAAACAAGGTGGAGACCAGCAAGATGGCTGAGCTGGTGAAAGTGCTTATCACCAAGCCTGCCAAACTGATTGATCCCAGAAGTCAGATGGGGGAGGGAAAGAATCAGTTCCCACAGTTGTCCTCTGAGTACCACATGTATGCTATGGCAGGTATACACACATGTATGCTATGGCAGGTATACACATGCACACATATAAATGTTAAAAAAATAAAAGAAAGAAAGAAGCAAAATAAACCCACAAACCATTGTGGGCAATTGTGAGGAAGGACACCCAAAGTTGACCTCTGACCTCCACACAAGCACACACAAAATATATAAAGGAGATTCTGCACATGTGACAACATAGACAAACCTTGAAAACCTTCTGCTATGTGAACTAATTAAATCAGATGCTATCTAATTCGACTCACACGAGGCTCTTAGTCAAATTAATTGAAACCCACAGTAGAATGCTGATCACTAGAGGCCGGGGGGAGGGGAGAAGGATAGTGTGGAGTTCTGTTCTGATGGCTACTGAGTGTTGGTTTTGGAATGTGAATGAAATTAATGACACCTAACTGTGCCCCTAAAAATAGTTATGACAATAAATTTTATACCCTCCCTTTTTTTGACCACACACATACACACACACAAAAAAAACCCAAACAGATCAAGCATGGTGGTACATGCCCTTTATCCTAAAACTAGGAAGGCAGAGGCAGGAGGATCTCTGTGCCTTCAAGGCCAGTGTAGTCCACACAGCACATTTGGGTCAGCTAGGACTACATAGTGAGATCCTGTCTCAAAATACAAAAGACCACTATCCCGTGAAGTAATGTCCAAAATCTGCACACTGTGCGATCACAGCGTATCCCAATTCATCTATGCCTCTTCATTTTCCACCATTTCTCCTGTTACAGCCTTTTGAGAAAGGAGACTCCTAGTTACTCTGTATCCAGGCACCCGACACAGGCAGGCAGCGCATGAATGGCTGAATGGTGACTGTTTCCGTAACACTTAGCCACCATCCACTCTCAGGCTTCCTTGCTCTGCATGTGAGTTATTCTTTGGTACACGGCCACCCTCCCATCTCCACTTACCAAATAATCTGTTTTTTTTTAAAAAAATTATTTATTTATTATGTATACAGTGCTCTACCTGCATGTATGCCTGCAGGCCAGAAAAGGGCACTAGATCTCATTACAGATGGTTGTGAGCCACCATGTGGTTGCTAGGAATTGAACTCGGTTCCTCTGGAAGAGCAGCCAGTGCTCTTAACCTCTGAGCCATCTCTCCAGCCCTACTAATCCATTCTTTAGGGGCTGGAATTTGATGATTATCCAAAGAGAAAATATTTTCAACTTCATGCTTTCTTAGCATTTCATACACCATCCCAACCCTCCTTTCTCTCTCTCTCTCTCTCTCTCTCTCTCTCTCAGCTAAGGTCTCCTGCCTTAGCCCCCCCCTCCACCCCCGCCCGCCCAGATGACAAGCATGAGCTGCAATCTCTTGCTAATATCTCAACCTCTAACACAAGCTGCTATCTACTTACATGTCTTCTTCTTGATCATTTTGTGAACTCCTAGGAGAGCACAAGTCATGGGTTTTTGTTTGTTTGTTTTTCTGTCTGCTCTAGCACAAATGCTGCAGTTAGGAACAAATGAAACCTGACTTTAATTTCCATAAACTTCAGGCTTCTGTGATTGGCAGCTACCTGTGGAGGTAAGTTCCCAGCTGTTAAGCTTTAAAGGGAATTCAGCTCTAATTGAGCCTGGCTGCCAAGTGGGTCCAGGAAAGACCTCTGAAGTAGAGGGGACATACACTGAGCATTGCAGGATGGGGAAAAGCTGATATTTCAAACTCTTGTTCTAGTCATTTAGACCTTAGCCCTTGTTCTCTCTCTCCTAAAGACCATAAAACAAATAGAAATCCACTCTAAATAGAACACAGCTGGAAAGGCTCGCCGGAACAACAGCGGCAGCCTACCCACTTCATTTTATAGTTGGAGAAAATGCGGTTCTAACAAATTAATAAGTGAACCAATAGCAGAGTTGACCTAAAACCCTGGTGTCTCTCCATTCTATGCCACAGGGCTGCCGTCCTCAATAGGACCCCCAAACTGAGGTGCATGGGGCCCCAGGTCATGTTACAGTTATATCTATCTGCAAAACCTGGGGCTCTAAAACCTTCCTGGATTTCAGTCAAAAAAAAAGGGGGGGGGGGGTAAAATTTCGCCTCTTGGTACAGCCCTGAGGAACGATGATGAGAGTAAAATGAATTATTTAGAATTACCAACAAAACTCGAGCGGGGCGGGTGTAAGGAAACTTGAGGTGGGTGACCAGAGACTTGGGTTCTACTCCAGCCATCTCCCTGGGCCTCAGTTTCCTCCTCTGCAAATGCAGGAAGCAAGCGTGGCTGGCTGATGGTTGCGACAACTCCAGCTCTGCCCACCCAGGCTGAGGCCCTCCCAGGAGAAGCCGGCGCGGAGAGCCCGCCCAGGAGGAGAACACGAGAGGCTCGAGTTACCATCCTGCAGCAGCGCCGTCTTCTCGGCCGCCCGCAGACTCTCCAGCCAGCTAGTCACCGCCATCTTCCCTCTGCCCAACAACGCGCCCGACCACTTCCATGGCAACTGCTGGGCCGAGGGTCACTTCCGGATGACCCGGAAGGTATTCTGGGAATTTACTTTAAAATTCCCCCCGCCCCTCCCCCCCACCTCGTCCGTTTTCATTGACTCCCATGGTGAGTTTATTTCTCTTTGCGGGAGATTCTGGCCTTGCGTGGACCGGCCCCGGGGCCGGGTCGAGTGGGGAGGTTCCTAGGACTTTTAGGGTCGTGGCATCAGCGCTCTTCTGGCCCCAACTGGGAGTCCCCAGTTCACGCCAGCTGCACACCCAGTGCATGTGGCACATCTGCCCACCCCAGCTGTGAGGGCACCTTACACCTGCTGTGGCTGCACCCCACTTCCCTGCAGCTACGGAGCTCAAGCCCGCCCGCCCCCCATGAGGCTGCGACAGGGGCAGGTGCACGGCGTACCCGCAACTTTCCGTGAAGTTTTTCTCTGTAATCGCACATTGATGCTAGAGAAAAATGACGTGAGGTTTGTGTGCACGTGTCCCTCAGACTCCACTTTTTTGGGGGACGATGAAGACTTTACTAAAAATGTAGTCCTGTTTCTTAGGCAGTTATCATTTTGGAAAAGCCTCTTGGAAGTGGAAGCAGAGGCCGACTCTGCGCTGAATCTTCAGAGCATCCCCTTCCCTCCAATGACTTCCCCTGAGTCAAAGGTCACCCCCACCCCCGACTCCCATAGTCCCAGCCTTTCCCTGTCTTCCCTCTGTACTCTTAACGCTGAAAGGCTGGTGTGTGTGGAGCGCATATTAAACCACTGGCATTTAACCGGGATTCCTGAGACCTCTGAGAAGGGGTCTCTTGCTCTTAAAGCCCGCCTCTCTTGGCCAAATGGTCTAGGGGCGGCCCTGAATCTTGGTTTTCTGCACATCTACCCTTAAACAGAAAAGCAAGGATCCAGCCATACTTCAATGGACCCCCAGGGGATCTTGAAGGCATTTCCCAAACGAAAGAAAATTCGTGCAGATCCATCATCAAAAGCATTGGCAAAGGTTCCCAGAAAGGAGGCAGGAGATGCTGGAGGTGAGCTGGCCCGCCTTCGAACTCACGCACCTGAACCCTCAGCCATCTGTTTTCACCCAGAGTCAGAAGCGGAAGTGGCCTCACACGTGTAGGGGCCGAGATCTCCATCTACTTACTTTGTGTTTGCTTTGGTCTCAGTCTCTTGTTTAGAGTCTCACTGTAACCTTGACCTTGCCTTGTAGCTGAGAATGACCTTAAGCTCCCGACCCTGTCTCAGCCTCCCTAGAGCTGGGTTAACAGGTGTGCAGCACCACATATGGCTGGCTGGCGCTTTGTCTTCGTTTGTTTTGCAAGGAAGGATTTCTCTCTGTAGCTCTGGTTGTCCTGGAGCTTGCTCTGTAGGCCAGCCTGTCTTGAACTTGGAGGTGTGCCTGGGATTAAAGGCATGCACCACTATCACTGTACTTGTCTTTGATAGCTTATTTGCTGTGTTATCTTCTTCCGCACCCCAAGATCTCGGTGAGAAAATGTTCCCTGACTCCTCAGGAAGTGGCCCTTAGAATTCTTTGTTGTCCTGGAGGAGCCCCCGGAGCACACACATACCCCTGCGTCCCCAGGCTTGTTCTGCGTTGTTTTGCCACCAGAATTGTTAAGTAGCTGGCAGAGATTTTTAAGGGGTTGGGAGTGTTGGTCAAGTCCTCTAGACTAAGGGCAAAGAACTTGTAATGGTAAGAAATGTGTGCTTTGCTGAAAAAAAAAAAAAGAGGTGATAAAATGATTTTTGAACTGTGTTCAGAGCAAAAGGCTTCAGTCACAGATACTTGTAGATGACCTGTGACATGCCAGACACCGCTCTACATATGACCTATGGCATGCCAGACACCGCTCTACATATGACCTATGGCATGCCAGACACCGCTCTACATATGACCTATGACATGCCAGACACCACTCTACATATGACCTATGGCATGATAGACACTGCTCTACATATGACCTGTGACATGCCAGACACCGCTCTACATATGACCTATGACATGCCAGACACCGCTCTACATATGACCTGTGACATGCCAGATACCACTCTACATATGACCTGTGACATGCCAGACACTGCTCTCTTTTGCACCAGGAAGAGGACACTGAATTCTAACTCCCTGCGTTCAGATGACGTCCCTTGAAGAAGTTGGCTGTGTTTGCAGTAGAATTCTTTGAAGGCTTTTTACGCTCTGGGTGGCAGGAAAATGGTTACTTTGAAGGGAAGTGATTTCAAACGGTTCACTGTGACAATGTCTAAGTTGCCCAGCTCAGTGACATACACATATCTGTAATCCTAGCACTTGGAAGTAGAAGCAGAAGAATCAGGAGTTCAGGGTTATTCACTACGTAATGAGTTTGAGGCCGGCCTGGGCTATGTGAGACCCTGTCTTAATAATAATGGTAATAAAATAATAATAATAATAATAATAACATTTATGATAATAGGTATTTGGATGTCCTCTCCGCAGATTGGCTGAGCTCCCTGAGGGCTCACATTATGCCCACTGGCATTGGACGAGCCCGGGCCGAGCTCTTTGAGAAGCAGATTCTCCATCACGGTGGCCAGATATGCTCTGCCCAGGCCCCAGGAGTTACTCACATCGTGGTGGATGAAAACATGGACTGTGAGCGGGCTCTTCGGCTCCTCAGACTCCCCCAGCTACCCCCCAGTGCTCAGCTGGTGAAGTCATCCTGGCTGAGCTTGTGCCTGCAGGAGAGAAGAGTGGTGGACACCGCTGGATTCAGTCTCTCCATCCCCGAGAGGTGGGCTGCCCCTCGCCTTTCTCAAGTTTTGTGGAGAGCATCTTGAGTTATTCCCAGACAACTCCTTTGTTTTCAATTGGACATACTTGGAAATGGAGGTTTCAGTGGAGAGAAAGGTCGGGGACGGAGGCACGGGAGAGTTTTGATACCCTAACTACCTGTGACCTCTCCTGCCCTCTAGTTCCTCCAACCAACCACAGCCCAGCAAGACAGACCAAGGCTCTTCTGCTCCTGGTACCCAGGAGGCTGTATCCAGGACAACCCTCTCCCCTCCCCCTCCTCACACCGGAGCTGCATCTTCTCCCAAAAAGACAGAGAAGGCACCAAGAACCCCAGCCCAGGTGAGAAGCTCCCAGCTCAGGGCCCTGCCCGTAGAAGTAGAAGGGCTTGGTGTTTATCCAGATACCTAGGTTTCTCCTGATTATGCAGCTGCTCCGCTCTTCCCGGCAGCATTCATTGCTTCTGCATTTACCAAGCCATGTCTACCATATACCACTGGGAGTCCCGGGCTCTGAAGGAAGCCCTCTGGCCTTACACTGGCGAAGGGACAAGCCCAGCGCACTAGGTGCAGACTCATCTTTGAGTCAAAGTAGGAACACCTGCCCACCAAACACAGCCCTCACTCTTGAGGAGAACACAGATTTACTGTTTCTTCTGTCTCCAGCTCAGCTCAGATGACGAAACCAGTGATGAGGAAGGACCCCAGGTTAGCTCAGCAGATCTGGAAGCCTTGATCAGTGGGCACTACCCCACTCCCCCTGAAGAAGATGGTGGGCCCGACCCAGCCCCAGCAGCCCTGGAGAAGTGGGTCTGTGCACAGCCCTCGAGCCAGAAGGCCACTAATTACAACCTGCACATCACAGAGAAGCTAGAAGTACTGGCTAAAGCCTACAGTGTTCAGGGAGACAAGTGGAGGGCCCTGGGCTATGCCAAGGCCATCAATGCCCTCAAAAGCTTCCACAAGCCTGTCAGCTCCTACCAGGTACTTGGAGGTTGGAGAAGGGACCTCTCCTTTATGAACTAGTGGTTAATGGCAGTGCTAGTCACCAATGGACATCGAATTAGTGGTTAAGATTTTATAATGGGTGGGGTTTACACTGAGACACACTGATAATATTTTTAAAAAAGGAGGTTGAGAACAGACCAGCAAAATTGTTAGGACTGGGAAATGGGTGCTTAGGGGTTTATTACACCGTTTCTTCTACTTCCAATTGTATTTATATAATAAGAAGTTTAGGCGGCTGGTGCCAGTGCATATCTGTAGTCCCAGCACTGGGCAGGGGGGTAGCAGAGGCAGGCAGATCTCTGTGAGTTTGAGGCCAGTCTGTTCTACAGAGTGAGCTCCAAGACAGCCAGGGCCACACAGTGAAATCCTGTCTGGAAAAACAAAAATTAAAAAAAAAAAAGAGTTTAAGGCCAGGCATGGTGGTACATGTCTTAGACTCTGTTTGTTTGTTTTTTGTCTTAAACTCTGCAACCATTTCATTGTGGGCTCTATAGACAAGTTACTTACTGTTTGTCAATTTTCCAATCTCTTGAAAGGAATTAATAACGGTTGCCATTCACAGTGTTTTTGTAAGGTTGAAAGATGGTCCCCGTAGCACAGAATGGCATGAAGTAAGCCCCCGTCAGTGTGTCAGAGTAACCCCGTCAGTGTGTTACAGTAGCCCCGTCAGTGTGTTACAGTAACCCCGTCAGTGTGTTACAGTAGCCCCGTCAGTATGTTACAGTAACCCCGTCAGTATGTTACAGTAGCCCCCGTCAGTGTGTTACAGTAACCCTGTCAGTGTGTTACAGTAGCCCCCGTCAGTGTGTTACAGTAACCCTGTCAGTGTGTTACAGTAGCCCCCGTCAGTGTGTTACAGTAGCCCCCGTCAGTGTGTTACAGTAGCCCCGTCAGTGTGTTACAGTAGCCCCCGTCAGTGTGTTACAGTAACCCCGTCAGTGTGTTACAGTAGCCCCGTCAGTATGTTACAGTAACCCCGTCAGTGTGTTACAGTAGCCCCGTCAGTGTGTTACAGTAGCCCCGTCAGTGTGTTACAGTAACCCCGTCAGTGTGTTACAGTAGCCCCCGTCAGTGTGTTACAGTAACCCCGTCAGTGTGTTACAGTAGCCCCGTCGGTGTGTTACAGTAACCCCGTCGGTGTGTTACAGTAACCCCGTCGGTGTGTTACAGTAACCCCGTCGGTGTGTTACAGTAGCCCCATCAGTGTGTCTTATAGCTGTGATGAAGGTGGTGCAGTGGTGATGGCGAGGGCTTTGTTATTTTCTGTACTGCTTTTTGTTGTGTGGTTTGTTCTTTTCTTTTGGAAACAGAGTCTTTGTGTGGAGTCCCGACTGATCTGAAAATCTGCCTGCTTGCACGTCTCCCTCCAGGAGTTCTGGGATTGAAGGCATGCACTACCATGCCTGGCCATTTTCTCTATTTCTTGTTGCTGGTCTCTGGGAACCAAAGGACAAGTTCCATATGGTTGCTGAGCTGGCTTCTGGGCAGAAATTCTGCTGAAGGAGCCAGATATCCTACGCTGGCTCTCCCTTCCTAACTTCTTATTCCTCCTCCCTACCACTTCCTCCCTAGGAGGCCTGCAGCATCCCTGGAATTGGGAAGCGGATGGCTGAGAAGATCAAGGAGATCCTGGAGAGCGGGCATCTGCGGAAGCTGGACCACATCAGTGACAGTGTGCCTGTCTTGGAGCTCTTCTCCAACATCTGGGGAGCTGGGACTAAGACTGCCCAGATGTGGTACCATCAGGTCATACCCTGCCCTTCTGCCACAGCCCTTCCACTTCAGTATTGCTGTGCCACAGAGCCTCCGCCACATCCCCTTCCTCTCTGCCTGCAGGAGCCAGGGTCCTTGTGTATCCACCCTGTGTTCTCATGAGAATGAATCGAACCCCAGGAGACTGCTTTGTAATGGCACCAGAGTTCGCCTTGGTCCCTCTCCTGTCCCCAGGACAGTCGTGTGGCTTAGTGTGTCCTTGAAGTGAGGGAAGGAACAATAAATATATTACTCTGTCCCATGGACCAGCAAGGGACTTTCTGTTTTCTTAGTTTCTTGAAAGAGTATCTCACTGTGTGGCCTTGGCTAGGCTAGAACTTGCTGTGTAGATCAGGCTGGCCCTGAACTCATGGAGATCCGTGGCTCTGATAAGGGACTTTCTAAGGAGCCCAGGGTTTTGGCCCCATGTCTAAAACAGTGGTTCCCAACCTGGCCGTGCCAAGAATGATCTTGGGAACTGGTGAGAGTGAAGCCAAGACCCATTTTAGACCAAGGAATCAGAGACCAGCATCCTCAGATTGTGGTGTCCCCCTGCTTAGAGGCTGGAGCTGGTCAGTCTTGCCTTATGTCTTCCATGGTGGCAGCTGTGACAGAGCACCTGTGTCTTCTGGTCCACACACTTACTTCATTAGTCCTGGGTCCTCACAGCCTCCTCTCGCTGGTTTTTTTTCCAGGGTTTCCGGAATCTAGAAGACATCCGAAGGCTGGACTCACTGACTGCTCAGCAGGTTGTTGGCTTGAAGCACTACGATGACTTCCTGGAGCGCATGCCCAGGGAGGAGGCTGCAGAAATTGAGCAGACAGTAAGCATGGCTCCTAGAGCACTAAGGAGAGCGAGGTTGAATTCCCAGCTGGGCAGCCCCACAGGCAGAAGTAGTTAAGGGGCTGCCAGAGACCGAGAAGAGCAGGTTGAGACCAGAGCCATAGGCCCAGAGGACATCAGGTGGGGGTGGACACTGTAACACCAGCCGTATGGGTGAGTGGTCTCGGGGCTAGAGAGCACTGGGCCTAGCATGGGGGCAGACACAGTCTCAAGGACTGGGATGTGAGAGGGTGAACAGACCAGGTTGGAGTCAGGGCAGAAGTGGTGGTTCATTGTCTTGAGAACTTAATGAAAATTGCGGGGCCAAGAGTGGTGGCACACACCTTTAATCCCAGCACTTGGGAGGCAGAGGCAGGCAGATCTCTGTGAGTTCCAGGACAGCCAGGAATGTTACACAGAGAAACCATGCCCCGAAAAACAAAAACAAACAAACAAAAGACAAGAAATGAGAACTATGGACTCCTCAGCTCAGAAGGCACAAATGGCCCAGGTATCGGCCTCTTTCCACATGTGTGGACCCTCTGAAGCACCTCTGCGGCTGCTCAGAATTGGTGGGGTTCAGATGAAAGAGTATAAGATTAGGGGTGGGGTCAAGAGAGCATGGCCAGGACTTAGTTAGGGGTGAGTCTGGTTAGGAGTTTCTCCCAGGGTTCTGTTCTATTTGCTGTGAGTATTTGTGATTGTCAAGGCCCAACCATGTGGTGCAGAGGTTGCTGGGTATGCCCAAGATCCCGTTGCTGTCTCCAGCACCACAGAAAGAAAAAACAATAGTTTCAGTTGGCCAAGAAATAAGCTTTGGCCAAGTTAAAGGTTTGGTTTAGAGCAGAGGACTTAAGTTTATGAGTTTATACAGAGTTGGGTCAGAGAGACAGGGCACCCTAGGATGTCTGTGTTGTTTGTTCAGCTGGTGTGGGCCTAGGGTCTTGCTGAGCGATAGCTGAGACAGCCGCCTGGGACTGGTCTGGATGGATAGACAGGCCCTATTGTGTGCCCTTCATCACGCTGTCACTCAGCTACGGAGTCCAGGCACAGGGAATGCCCTGGGCAGCCACCAGCCCGCAGCCCATTGGAACCAGGCTTCCCACTGTAGCCTGCTCACAAGTAGGGCTCCAGCTATAGGGATGCTGATGGATTACTTATCTTTCTCCTGGGAGGCCCAAGAGGGGAGCGAAGGGATTAGCAGAACTGCTTGTCAGGCCCTGGGAATTGAGGTGTCCTGGCTGTGGGTATCCAGGGCCCCAGAGACCTCAGTGTCCTGCAGTGGGGGCGGGACCCATCTCCATATAAAAGGCCTCCACAGCGGCTGGTGGAGGCTAATGGGCTTATTCCTCCTCAATTAGGCCTCTCAGATCCTTCTACAGACAGGCCCGGCTCACCCCTGCTAGAGGGTGTGGGCAGCTCCCGTCCTTCCTTCCTCACAGGTGCAGTGGGGTTTGTGCTCCGCTTTCTCCCTGCAGGTTGGAGGCTCTGCCAGCCACCTGCTCAGGCCTTAAACTGACTCCCACACACTGCTGTCAGCTCCAGAGTCATAGGCAGCTTGAACTGCAGGGATACGGCCTTTTGTGGAGTTTCACAGGCCTGGCCACTAGGTGCAGGTGGAGCCAGAACCCAAAGAGTGCCCCTCTGCTCTTTCTTATACAGAGTCCTTCTACCTAGACAGAGCCAACGTCTTCAGGCCTCCACAGGCCTGTCTCTAGGGGCCCAGGCTTATCCCCCTCAGCATAAAGCCTGGGGCTAGACCCGGGAGCTGGTGCTGTCATGGGAGAGGCCTCCAGCATCTCACCCCTCCCTGCCCTTTCCCAGGTCCGGACATCAGCCCAGGCCTTTAATCCTGGGCTGCTGTGTGTGGCCTGTGGCTCCTACCGAAGGGGGAAGGAGACCTGCGGGGATGTGGATGTGCTCATCACTCATCCAGATGGCCGGTCCCACCAGGGCATCTTCAGCCGCCTCCTTGACAGCCTTCGGCAGCAAGGTATCCACTGTCTTTGGGTGAGCAGGCTGGAAGGGGGCAACCATGTTTGAGTTGTCATCTTTGAGTCCTAGTTTGAGACATGTCATGGGGGAAGGGCCAAAGACACTGTAGGACAGGTGCCTACAGGTAGGTCTTCCGACTACATTCTATAGATGAGGAATTGGGCCCAGCGGGGCAGGGTGGACTAGAGAAGGGAGGGGTCTGGGCAAGTTGGGAGGGTCCAGATTGCCCTATAGACATCCCTTACATTGGACCAGGGTTCCTCACAGATGACCTGGTGAGCCAGGAGGAGAATGGCCAGCAGCAGAAGTACTTGGGTGTGTGCCGGCTTCCAGGGCCCGGGCAGCGGCACCGGCGACTGGACATTATTATCGTGCCCTACAGTGAGTTTGCCTGTGCCCTGCTCTACTTCACTGGCTCTGCCCACTTCAACCGGTCCATGCGAGCTCTGGCCAAGACCAAGGGCATGAGCTTGTCGGAGCATGCCCTCAGTGCAGCTGTGGTCCGGAACAGCCAAGGTGTCAAGGTGGGGCCTGGGCGCGTGCTGCCCACCCCCACAGAGAGGGACGTCTTCAAGCTCTTAGGCCTGCCCTACCGAGAGCCAGCTGAGCGGGACTGGTGACCATGCTGTGTGAGCTGCCACCACCACTATAGCTTTGCCCAGCTCAGCCAGACGACTTCAGTCACCTGCTGTTCTTAGTGAGCCAAGCTGGGAGCTCTGGGCCTGAGGGAAAGAGCCCGCCTGACAGTGAGAGCCTGCAAGCCCTCTCCCGGTTGGACAGGATGACGTATGCTGCTGTCCCCTCCACCTCACCATGGCTCCTAGTGACATTTGAGCAGAACAGGTGGCTGGTTTCAAGCCTGTCTCCTGTGCCTAGGCTTTCCTTTCCACCCCAGACAGATCTAGATGCTGGGACTTGGGGTGAGGCTGGGGCTGGGGGGAAGCAGCTGTGGGTTCAGCATCTTCCTGAACCCTTACAGTAGGAGACGCCATGCGGACTCCCTCCCCCACTCACTTCCTGTGCAGCTGGAGCTGCTGGGGGCGGCCTGCCCAGACTCTGTGAGGACTGCTTCAGAAGGCCCTGGGGCCTAGTAAAGTGCTTTTGACTTTCAACCTGCCTGGTGTCTGAGCTGCAGCCCCACCTGCTGCTCTGCACCCCAGCAGAACAACCATGGGGCCTAGACATCAGAACCCACACTACCACCTTCTGGTCAGGGTCAAGCCTGGCTGAGTCAGATCCTGAATGCAAAATGTAGTCTAGGGTAGATGGTATGAGAGAGAACTGGAGTTAGACACAGGGGCCTCTCTGTCCACCCTTCAGCAGCTCCTGTGACCCTCAGATGGGACTACAGTGGGATATGAGTGACCCTCAGATGGGACTACAGTGGGATATGAGCAGAGGTGACAGGACTTAGAGGAAACTACGGAACATGATCTGTACACCATGGATAGGAATGGGGAGTTCTGGGGTTCCTGGGAAGAGAAGAGGGGCAGAATGTAAGGAAATGGCCAAATGGGGGGGGGGGGGGGGTCAATGGAATGTCTGAGGGCAGTCATGAACCAGCTTTAGGGAGGATGCTGGGATTCGGGAGATCTGGCTGCAGTGTTTGGTTGATAGGACAGGCGGGGGTGAGCCTGTAGGTGTACAGCGGGGTCCTGACTCGGGACTCTCTGTAGCTGGGCATGGCAGGACAGGAGACCGGGGAGGGGTCTAGAAGGAGGTTTAGAAAGTCAGAAGGCTTCCTGCAAAAGACCCTGTGACCCCATTGGGAGATTTTTGGGGTGAAACATGAGACAAGCTTAAGTCTAGAGGCTCCAACTTTAATCTGTCAAGTGTGAAAGATGTGTGTGTGTGTGTGTGTGTGTGTACAAGGTGTGTGTATGCAAGGTGTGTGTGTGCAAGGTGTGTATGTGGCTTGTGTATCGTAGAATCCCAGAGTTGGCTTTTGCCTCCTTGGTCTGGGCAGTGGCACTTATTTATAATTCTAAATAATCAGAAGGCAGAGGCAGGAAAATCATAAGTTCTAGGCCAGCCTGGGCTATGTAGGAGGTTCAAGGCATCTCAAAGTGAACAAAGCAGTCATGAACCCTAGCATCTTGGAATCAGACCTCCAGCTCAAGCCTAGACCCCAGACACCAAAGTGGGGGGACCTGGCCTGCATGAGTGCTGCTGAGGAAGGGGTGGAGCCCACTACAAGGCCCCCACCGAACTGAGAAGTAGCCGCATCCAAGGACCCAAAGCCCCCATAAGGTGCCAGTCTTCTGGCAGACTTTAGGAGCATGGACTGCATGTCCTGCACTGGAAGCTTCCAGAAACACTGGGAGAATAGAGCTGACTACCTGGGAATTCAGAACTTGGCTGTCCCTCACCCGCCTTACTTAGTCTCCCCAGCAGACACAGACTCCACGGTGCCTCAGACGCGCATGCTCTTGCCTCACCTGATCAGTGCAGCAGGAGGTCCCGTGTTGGAGAGAGAATGCCCACAGCCTTCAGGGTTCCATGACACTGGTGTCCTGATTGCAGGCTGACATGAAGCTACAGAGGCTGAGCTCTGTGTTCTCAGGCTGCCAAGAGCGGGGGGGGGGGGGGGGGGGGGGACGGACCCCAAGTCCTGCTCAGGGGTGTAATGGCCCAAATCCGCTCTCCTGCTCTCCTGGCATCCCTGCCCTCATCTTGCCGTAAAGGGAGGACTCAGTTTCTGAGCCCTGGTGGGAACTGGGGTCCTGTCTGGTAACTGAGTACCCCACAAATCTCTCAGTCCCAAGGAAGAGAAAAGGAACTTTACAAACCTGCTTTCAGCTCCAGCTCAATCCCCCATCCCTGAACCACGGTTGTCCCTGGTCGGACCATGTATGAGGCAGGGCAAAATGGCCAGCAAGTATGTCCGCGTCCTACGGATAGACCTTATCTGGCTGGAGACTGAAGACTCAGGGAGGAGCTCGTGTTCTCAGAGGTGAAGAACTTGCCTAGCACCACCGCCACAGCAGCAAGCAAATGTGACTAAGGCCAAGCACCTGCAATGAAGCAATTCTTCTAGCCCAGAGTGGCCCTGGGGTGGGCCGGGAGCCTCGGGGCCTTTCCTGGGAGAGAGAAAGGGCAGAGAGGTCCTGTGCTTCTGGCTTCCACGTAGAAAGTCTAAAATTCCCACAGCTTAAAGACCCTTCCAGATTCCACTCCGGAACCTCCAGACGGAACTTGGCCCTGCCACCTGGCTCTCATCCCAGGGAAGCCTATGTTGGGTGACAACTTTGGTTTTGTGGTTTGTTTTGTTCTGTTTTGAGACAGTTTCTCTGTGTAGCTCTGGCTATCCTGGAACTTGCTCTGTATAGCAGGCTGGCCTTGAACTCAGGGAGATCCCCCTGCCTCTGCCTCCCAAGGGCTGGGATTAAAGGCCTGAGCCACTATACCCAGTTTAACTTCATATTCTTTTATGCCTCCAAGTCTGCCATTTTTTCCTGCAACAACAGAGAGCCAGTACTGTGTGTGTCTTGGTCTCCCACTGTCCTGAGTGGGTGTGGGCCCTGCCACACATCACCTGTGACTTGCCCCTGGAGAAACAGGAGGGTCAAGCTGGTTGCAGACCTTAGGCTTCTGCCCCCTTTTTGTCTACTATGGGCCTCTCTTCATTTTAGCTGCTGTCTGACACTTTGTACCCACAACACAAGTCCTCTTAGGGTGCCTATGACCCAGCCCTGCCAGACTGTAACCTTGTGTTTACCTAGTGCCTGGGGTCATGGCCATAACCTTGCTACGAACCAAACTTGTATCTGGAATTCTGGCTACTGAAGCAGAGCAGGTGCAGGCAGGCCAGGCATCCCCAGCCCACCGCTGGAATGAGTGGGCATGGCACGGTGGGCAGGCTCTGGTGTGCCATTTCTTTGAGTCATGGGAGTTCGGCCCCTTTAATAGGAGTGGGATTCCTCTTGCCAGGACTAAGGGGTGCAACTTGCTACCCTCTTCACCCTCTCAGTAGGGGAGGGGAACATTGCTGTCCTCTGAGCGAGGGAGCTGCCCAGGAAGCCACAGCTGTGGTTCCAGTCTGCAGAGAGAATGCAGGGGCCTAGTGGGGACTCCAGTGTGGTCCCGTGTCCACTCTGCACCAGCCAGCCGGTTTTCCAGAATCCCTGAGTCATTGGGTGGCCCTTCTTCCCAGCTCTGGGACTGGTGGGGGGGGGGGGCATTCTTCTCTCTGAGGCCCCAAGAAAAGCTGGTCTCTGGAAACTCAGCCTTGCTCCTCTGTGGAAGAGATTGCTGCCTCCTTAGGAGACCTTCCCTGAAGAAGGCCCTGGGCCCCAAGACAAGAGGCCGCAGGGGTTGATGGACTGCTGGGCGATCTCTGAGAAAGCCTCCAGAAGATGAGCTGACTCAAGGCTGGGATATTCACTATTGCCGTTTGAGTGGCTGTGGAGCCTATGAAGAACCTGCTAGACACAGGCCTGTGACAGGTGCCTCAGCTTAGTTCTGAGGGTGTGTGCTGGTGTTCGACGGACTGTGTGGTCGCTTGCTTGTGTGTGTGACTGCACACATTTCTGGGTCCTTGGGTCTGTGGGCTGCGTGTTTACACTTCGTGTCTGAGTACCAGTGTCTCCAGCTAGCCTCTGGGTACAGGCCCCCATGTCATCAAGGGCTCAGGTAGGTGCGCGGGATGGAAGGGGTCCCCGGTGGTGCTGGTCAGGGACTAGGAAGGTAGCAGAGTCCTGGCTGGAGTCGGAGCTCTGGGTGCTTGTGTCCATGGAGGAGGCCGCAGGGCGGACCGCTTGCGTCAGCCTTGAGCGACCATCAATAGCGCGCGGTTAATTAATTTGATGGGAACAGCAGGGACCGCCGTTTGCATTTAGTGAAGTTCCAGGAACTTCCAACCCCATCTTCATAATTGGCCTCATAAATTGTAAGAAAGAGAGAGATCAGCAAAGCGGGAGGAAGGAGGGGCCGCCCGTCCGTCCTTATTTAATTTTATTGCTGAAATTCATCTTTTTAGCCTCCTCCGCCTGAATCGGCTCTCCCTGCCGGATTTGCCTAATCATGATAAATTAATATTCATTTCCCACCTCTTACCCAGCTCCCGCGCTTGGATAGAGTTGGGAGGGTCTCCTTCCAGCCCCTCTGCCTTGGTGGGAGATGACCCCCAAAGTGGAGCTTGTGTGCTGAACTGAAATTGGCCTTTGGGGAGAACAGGAGGGAGCCTGGGGTAAAGATGGGCTTGTCTTTTCTTGAGAGGGGGACTACAAAGATTGGTAGGAACTCAGAGGGCTCAGAAAGCTGACATTAACTACCAGTGCCCAGCCAGGGCTGGATTAAAAGGACAAGGAGAATCCTAGAAGTCTCCTCGAGACCTCAAGGCCGAGCTGGACAGGGAAGGCTGTGGTGGGGACGGGGACTGGAAGCTGAATAGAATCAAGGCGCCAGGCCGAAACAAAGAGTTGATCCTGCACTGATCATTTCCACACTCCATGCCCTCAGTGGGATATGAGCCACCTTGCGAGGATGGCACCATGGTAGTCTGAGGGTTCCTGTGGGCACCGCTGGTTTCTGAGCACTCTTTCTCAGTACATCTAACACTGTGGCGAGACCTGCGCCGCTCTGTCTGATGGGCATAACTCCTGCTTCAGTTAGGGCTGCTGGCAGCACACACAACCCTGCACCTCCCTCCGTGTTGGGGCTCTAGGCTAAGGGATCACAATTCCCTCAGCTGCTTGCGCTTGGTTCTGTGACACGTGCCGGCTTTCATTTCATCCAGCCTTTGGCCTCACTTACAAGGGAGGAACCTGAAGATCACACAGGAACAGTGATTGGTCCAGTGCCCCAGGACGAAGTTCAGGAGGGCTGGACCGAGGAGTGAGGGAGTGACCTGGGAGGCTGAGTGTGTGTGGAACATTCAGTTCCAGGGTGCGAGCTTCTGCCTGTGTGTTTTATTAGGTGACAAAGAGTACATGATCTAACCACACAATCCCTTTGAAAGGAGAGCTGTCTCTGAGAGGTAGCAGGACAGTGGAAAGACCTGAAGCATGGGCAGGGCCTCGGAGGGGCTGAGGAGCAGTGTCCGCTGATGCTTGGCAGGAGATGGATGGCAGCCCCTTGCCACTGCCAGGAAGTGAATCCTGCCAGCCAC